GTCAGTCATGTTTCTGGTTTGATGCAGGAGGCAGGGTTGTCCTGAGCATAATATACAAAGAGCAACTGCTGAATTCTTCGTTAGTGTTCTTCAAATAGGTTATCACGTTTATCTTCAGAAAAAGAGGGATATTTTGCAATTATATTGAACTAAGAAAACAAACTTACAAAACACACAGGAGCCTTTTATTCAAGTATTTAAAAGGATTTTCTCTGGGTATAGCAGAAGGGTTCAGAATTGAGGATTCCTGTGTAGACTTGATATTGATTGTAAGCTGATCGCTGATACTGAAAACATGCTTGCACTCTGTGTGTGCGCATGCACACATGTGGCCCTTTGCTTCCAGGGTCTTTGAGACCATGTAGAAGCTGACACTGGAGGAAACTCCATCAGAGTATTTCAGTCTGTATCTCATTACATTAACCAGCATAGATAATGACTTAACAGATTTAATTAAAAAAAAAAAAAAGGTCCTTTTAAGGATTAAAGCTAAGTTTGGTGGTGTTTTTTTTGTTTTTGTTTTTTTTTTTTATTTTGGCTCCCGCTGTTGTAAATTTTTATTCAAGGATATTACTCTAATATTTTGATGGACTTTGGGGGTTTTGAAGATAACATCTGCATCACAGTAAATGGGTTAAATGAGACATTTCAGAAGAATAATAGAACTATGCAATTGCATATCTCTTGCTGATTCACTGTTACAATGGGAAAATCCCACTTCTATTTTTGTCTTTCTACCTATGATCTGCAAAGAATGCATTTTCTTACTTTGATTGCAATTTTGACATTTAAAAAAATGCTTCCTCTAATGAGGCTTCTGTGTTCTGCTCACTATGAGAACGTTTCAAGTATTTACATAATTAGAATATGAAGACACCATATATCATAATGTAGCCAAGAATTTAATTTTTGCTCTTATTAAAAAAAAAAACAACAAAAAAACCAAAACAAGCAACCAAACAAAACCAACCCTAAATGCAAACTCCCACACTCAAATCTTTTAGATTGTTCACAAAGCACAGATATAGGAACATGTGAAATAAAGAAGCTTTATATAGCTAAGAAGGAAGAGAGAGGAGCCTTTTATTCTTCAGGAATTTTTTTTACCTCATTAATTTTGATTGTTTCATTAGTGAGGCAAATACAAAATGGTTATGAGGAAAAAAGTACAAATTCTAGTGAAAATGATGCCTGTAACTGCTCTTAACAAAGCAACTGAGAAAAGGTAAAACTCTTGCTCTGTTTTGAGAAAGCTGCTTGTTCTAGCTGTACTGAATGCAGGAATTATAAAAACAAAATAGGATTCTTGTTATGCTCATTTGCATGTTAAATAATCTGGATGTTTTTCCAGCTCCCAGTTATTTCAAAGCAGTCCGAGTGTCTGAACTTTGGGAACAAACCAAATGACTTACAACACTCTTTGGTGTGCAGATGACCCCTTCTCTAAAAATCTGCTAATCCAAAGTGGAGCACGTTGATGATTGTACTCTTTGAAATCATAATAGGCTGCTGGGAGTAACCCTTTCCTCATATCAGCTTCTGAAGTACGTGGCTAAAGAGAATATTTGAGAGGATACAGATAGGCAAACAGCATTCATTTGCTCAGTGATGGAAGTCAGTAACATTTCTGTTTTCTTTGTAGTTAAATTGGAAATAGGATGAATGTGTAAAGCCAGTAAGAAGTAACCCAGCAGTGAAGTATTTTAGACTAAGTTCAGTTGTTCTTTGAATCAGGCATTGGCCTACTCAACACATACACAATGCCTGCATGAGGATGAATTTCAGATCAGAAAGTTTGTATTTTAATAGTGTAGTGCTCTATCCACTGGGGGGGTGGAGGGGGTGGGGTAAGAAAAAGTTCCCAACCAAACCACACAAAAACCCCCGCAACAGATCTGTAGGAGGACTTGCGGATTTTCTCAAGTGGTATCTCTCTCAAAACAAATGAGGCAGCTCATCACAAGGAAAGTATCCCTAATGATCCCTTAACATTAATGGGCTCTCCAAATCCTTGCTGAGAGAAGAAATCATGAACCTTTTGGACAGTGTCACCTTTAATACTCGGTAACAGTCAGAAGGCAAATGGTTAGAATAGGAGCAGGATGAATTATTGAGTCTTCCTAAATCGGCGTGTCTCAGACTTTTTTTTTGAGTGTTTTATGCAATAGTTAGCTCTACTTTCAGAGAAGGGAAACTGGGAAGGGTGAGGGTGAAGGGAAACCAGGTCTGTACTGAAATGGCAAGAAAAATTAAGCAGCACCAACTTAGTAAAGCTGCGTGACAGAGTTGTGTCAGGTTCGGAATGGGGATTATGACTAGGAGGTGATTGTTCAGTGTTTCTCTCAAGGTGGGAGCGGAAGGATATCAAGTGAAACTGAGGCAGCAAGTTTCAAAGAAAAGGAAGTGGTTTTTTTGTGCCACACATAGTAAGGTGTGGAGCTTACTGCTATAGGATGGTAGCAGAGGTCAAAAATGCGTATGTGCTCAGAAGGGGTAGGACAGATTCAGAGAAAAGGTTGTCAGAGGCTGGTCAGCATAGACTGTGGGTGCAGCCTTGGCACTGGGATGCCCCAAAGCTGTTGAGCCCCAGCAGCTGAGGGCAGTGTGGCAGGCTGGCCTTGCTGCTTGTACTCGGGCTGTCTGCAGTAGGCTGCTCTCAGAGATGGCATTGCGTGCTTCAGAGGCTACAGGTCTGAGCCAATATATTTGGCCTAACAGTCTTCACCACCTTGTCTCCTGTCACCAATTCCAAGTTACAGCCAGCCTTTAACTTCTCTTTCTTTCTTTTTTTTCCTCTATCACGCACAGTTTTCTTACTCTTCTGAGAAAGTAACTTTTTCTTTCTCCAAACTTGGCAGATACATTGTTCCTCTTTCAAGCTCCTTGATTTTATTTTTCATTGGAAAGTTACCCTTGAGTCCTATTACTCTTCCTTGGAATGCTAGTGCATGGTTTATTTAAATGCATCAGCCTCATGTAGGCATGCATCTTACTGTATACCTGTTGAGCTCTCCTGACTACCTGTGGTCTGACACACCCATCTTCCTTGGAAGCTGCAGGGATGTTGTATTTGATTCCTTTTTTCCCCTTGTGTGAACTCGGCACCAAGCAGATCTAATGATGTGAAGGTCATATAGTCAGGGACAAGGAACAAGGGTGGGGTTTGTTGTATACCTACGCCCTTGAAGATCTCACTTGTAAGTGTGGCCAAAGAATGGTAGTCTATCTGGCAGGAAACCTTTCCTCTCTGCTCTTACTTGGGCATAAATTTACTTGAAATCCTTAGTTCTGGAGGGGAGAGTGCAGAGAGCTACTTGTCCTTTCTTCCACTACCTCTTTTCCAAGAGCAAGAACTACGTGCTGGGTAGATCCATTCTGTTCCTGCTGTTAAACCCCAACATTCCCCTAGAATGAAGAAATGCCAGTATGTGCCTCAAATAAGCTCCTTCAAGCTCTTGAAATCCCTAAATAATACAAATTTATTAATACTTTAATATTTTAGCATGTAGTAAAGAAACCACTTTATTTTTGTGTGTGTATGATCTCTGGTTGCAGTCTGGTTCTGCCTTTGTTCAGATAACTAGTCTGATGGATAGGTCAGGCGTGACCTTTTCTAAAAACTATTTTTTTTTTTTGGGTTATCCTACCTTTTCAGGTAGGTCGAGTTGAGGAATTTTCGTACACCTAGACTTCTTCCACCCGCATGGGTGTGGTGGGATTTAATTTCTGAGCCTGCCTAATGCCATGGGAGTTCAAAGCAAGTACTGCTGTTTCTATTTCCACATCTAAATCACTTGTACCTAGTGTATATAGAACTGGAAGCAGGAGGACTATGTTCTGGTCTGCTCATCTGGTTCTTCCCAGGATATTGCTGGGAAACTGGAGCCAGATGAAGTTACTTTGTAGTGCATAGGTGGCCTATAAGCCCAACAGGAGCAGTCTGCAGTGGATAATAATATGTTCATTTAAACAGCACTAATAATCAGCGTCCATTCTTGGAATGTGCAAATTGGAATGTATGATGAGTTGGAAGTACAAGGGAGCCTTGATAATTGAGGAACAATTTGCTTAATTATGTTCTTCTTAGTCAATGTATCATTAAAAAAAATGAAAAAGTTAAATGATTGTTTAATGTTTGGCAGTGTCAATATTTTCCAGTCTCCCAGATAATTTAATAGTCAGGATACATAAATTTGGAAGGAAAAAAGTATGCTCTAGAATATACATGAATAGGAAGTGGGTAAAAATTATGAAGGCAAGGTTATTTAAAAAAAACGCCAACAAACCCAAACAAACAAAAAAACCTCTCCACCTCCTCACACCCCCTCCCGCCCAAAAAAACCTAAACCGAACAACAACAAACCACAACTACTTCATTTATTGCACTAAAATAAAAAGTTGGTGTATGTAATGAGGGGGCTTAGTGGAACATAGTACCTCTGCATTGTTTTTGTAGTCATAAGGGATCTTCCATTCCAAAAGCAGTGTTCTTCCTGTTGCTTTTCAGCTATTGACAGAGGCCAGTTCTTGGCTGGTGACTAATCTCAAATGTTGAAGTGACCTTGGTCAAAAAGGGATGAATACATGCAAGTGCTGATTCAGGTTACCATATTCAAGTAATAACTTAGGGCCTTTGTCTGCTCTTGATTAAAACAATAGATTTGCGTTCTTAGCTGTTTTACTGCAGTGGTCAGCTTTTTTTTTTTCTTCTTTCTGTGACCAGAAAACAGGTTAAATAAGTCATTAAATAAGGCATAACCCCTGTTTCCAAGGCATAAAGAAATTGATTAGAGTTTGAAAATATATATTTCTATATAAATCTTTATATCTTTATAAGTACTCTGAAAAAAATGTTAATATCCAGATGTTTTTATGTCTGCTGTTTTACAGTTTTGAATTAAAAACCTTGACCTTTCTCATCCTCTGTTAATAAATTTTTTGGTAGTATGGTAAGACTGTGTCTTCATTGTAAAAACAATGCTTTGCTTCTGTGTTTGTAGATGCTGTGAAGCCACCAGTCAGTTCTTTACAACCGTCTGCTGAATTACCCTTGCCCATCAACACTTCACCACCTTCCATGCAAGCAGAATCTTCAATACCTCCTCCTTATCAGCTTATTAATATCCCTCCACTGGAGTCTTCCTCTGGTCAAGAAGATCCTCAAGACTACCTACTGCTAATAAACTGTCAAAGTAAAAAACCTGAACCTATGAGGTAAGTGATATTTTTTTTCTTCTTAATAACACTTATTTGTATTACAGGCCAAGAATGTTTGTGCTAAAAGTACTTTGTTTACTGCTGAGTCATAGAATGTTTGGATGTATATAATCTGTGGGGGGAAGATGCCTGTAACTTTTCCTTCTTTTTGTTCAATGCTTAAACTTTTTGCACCAATAGTAAGTTATTTCATTAGCACTAGACCCATACTGCAGTATTCAGAATGTGGACAGCAATCACCAGTGTCAAGTACCAGATAAGTGCAGTGATTCATTTTACTGTAGGTTGGAGTGATGTATGGCACAGAGCAGAGAAGTACCCTTTCTTTATCCACAATTTGATGTGGTTTAGTTTATTTTAGGACTAGAAAAAGCTGGAGAAATATATCCTTTCTCCCTCTGGTATTTGGTGCCTTAGTTCTGCCAGTTAAAGCTTTCATGGAAGGGTTTCATTAAAACATGCTGATACATACTATCACTGGCCAGACTACCACATCACTGAATATAGCCGTCCTCAAGTGGTATTTGTTGACTGTTACTGATGGGGTTCAGACTTTCAGGCAAGAGTAAGAGATAATTACTTTATGATAACTAGGAATGCAGGAGACTTCAACTACTCAGTTTCTGTATCTTGGTATTTAACTTTTTCCAAATAACAAAAATATTTAAAAGCAAGCTCAGATAAGCCTTATTTCTTACTGAATAAAGAGTACCCATGCAGTCAGCTCTCCAGAGAAGCGTACAGTAAGAAATTTTAAGGAAAGAATTGAGAACTTCTACTGAAATAAATGTTATTTATTTCTCCAACTGCTACTTCGAATTTATAGATGTACAGCACCTCCTGCTTAGAGGGTTATGATATTTACAGTAGCTACCTGGGAAATATTGCTATGGTTTTTCAGAATGGATCATGGTGGCCTGGAGACTTAGTGGAATCTCTGTCCTCTAGGATTTAAAACAAACAAAAAAAAAACCAACCCCAAAAAACCACCACAAACCAACCACAAATAAACTTGACTGGACAAGCTCCTAAGGAGCCTCACCTGACTTTGAAGTTGGCTTTGCTAAGATGTATTGGAAGAGCTGGACCAGATAATCTCCAGCAGTCCCTTCCAACCTTGTGTATTCTGTGAGAAAACCTTATAGATCTCTCTGTCAAGCTGCTTTTCAGCAGTAATTTAAAATAAAAACCACTGGGGTGTTTCCAGAAGAATAAACAAAGTATCGAGGTTTTTTTTTTTTTGATTGCAGACAAGCACATGGAAGGCTGAAGAAAGCTTCCTTTGAAAGTGTTTTCATGAGGATTTCATATGCTCCCTTAGGGCTTTACCTTTTAATGGTGGTGCCTTCTTCATCAACACCTTGATGCTCTGCCAGTTTTACCTGTGCCATGTGCTCTCCACTCCCTTGGCATTTTTATCTTGCTTTGTTGTGCCTGAGGAGCTTCCTGCTCTGTTTACTGATGATTGCATGGTAGGAAAGTATCCAACCGTTACAGTCATTCCTATAAAACAGGGGAACGAGCCTACAATTCCCCCAGAGTATGGAATGTGCAGTTTACAGGCAGAACTGCACGCCTCAAAGCCCCTTGCAAAAGAAGGGGAAACCCAGTTTCTGTTTTCTCAGTGTTAAAGGTTTTAGCGTTTACTGATGTTTAGAAGCTGATGGTGCCCGGGAGGTACATCACCGTTCCTGCCCAAAGCTGCCAGTTGGTGTCGTTTCCAGAACAGCTTGGCAGAGAAATCCTGACTTCCCATTTTGGTACCCTGGCTCATCAGAAATGTGTCTCAGTGCCCGTTTGCTTCTGGGAGCAATAGGCAGGGTGGATTTGTAACACCACCACAGGAAGCATGTTATTAGGAATGATGGAGCTTGGGATGGGTATTTGACTTTCTGGCCTGACCTCTACAGCTCTGTGATGTGTGGGTTAAGTAGAGGGAGGAAAGTCTGAGGAGACTGTAGAAGTGGGCACAAAACGTGGCTACGTAGAGAGTCCATGCATAGCCTGCGAAATTTCTTGAAGACACTGGTGGCACAGGAGAGAAGGTGTTTGGGTGTTGGAGAAGGCAGAAAGTCCAGTGGAGACAAGATGTTGAGGGAACTGAGGAAGAACTGAACAAAGTCTTTAGGAGCATAGAGATTGTTTAAATAAATGATGTTTTTGTAGGAATATTAGAAGTCTGTGAAACACTGGCATTGTGATTACATGGGTTTAGTGTATTATATTAACTAAATTCACTAAATAGCTATGCCCTTTTATTAAGAAGGCTGTAATAATGAAAATTCAGAATAATAGTTATGCTGGAGTCTCAGTTTCATGTAAAAGAACTGCCTAAGTTTCATGTCTGGTACAGCAGGTATTCTGCTGGATTTGAGCTGGAGTATAGAGGATACAGACCTTTTCCTAAGGAATTAGAGCTTTGTGTATCTGCACAGCATGTTGCTATTATGATCAGTTAGAGAGCACCCTGTGCACCACTCTAATTCACATTCTTAGGGGTGAATAGGAATTAAATGGCCACATATTTTCCTGTTAATTTCCAGACTTGGAAGGATTTATCTGTGTATTCCATACAACCTTTTTCTGTAGTGTAAAGTCCAAAGCTTAGTAGATGTAATTAAACAGGCAGGCATTGTTACTTGAATGCTTTTTTTCTGTGATGTTTTCCCTTTAGACTTTAAAGTTGCCTATATCCAGAAAGAACATTTTCTGTCCTAATTTTGCATGTTACTTTACAGATAATCTGGGAACCACTGAATTTTGTTTCAAGGCTTTGGTGTTCTTTTCTGTGGGAGGCAGGTAGCTGTGAAACACAGAGGAAGTATCAGAGCAGCCTCTCTGAAATTTTTGAGTTGCGGTGCTTCAAAACTAACAATTTTTAAATGCTTCATTATGGTGTCACGCAATGCACCACTTAGAGTTGTGAGAGTATCTTAGATGCAGCACATGCAACTGTAATAATCATGCTATATTTTGTCTGAAATAGTTTTATGCTCCAATCACTATTGCCTTGAGAAACAGTATTGTTCAACTTGGGTTTTAGTGAGATTCTAAGGTTCATATTTGGATCAGAAATAAGAAAATCCAGCCAAAGACTGTTTCCAATCCCTGTATTGTTCTGGCTCATTTGAGAGGTGTATTGAAATACTAAACGCTGTCTTCCTCATCTTTCTTATGTTTATGAACCAGCCAAGGGTCACCCTTTCTCTCGGAAGAAGGGCAGGAATACCTGCTATTAGAAGATTTTGAAAGTAAAAAGATTCCACTGCAGTGAGTGAACAGTAGCCATTCTTGGAACACGTGTGAGAAATTAAGCACAGAAACATTAACTTGCCTGAAAATACTGTTTGTTTGAGATGCATCTTGCATGGTGTTCTCTGAGTTTTAACAGGAAAACTACGTAACTTTGGCTTCCACTGTCTGGAAATAGAGCTGGTTTATTACTTATTTATTTACCTCTTTGCATTATTAGTATGCTTGCTGTTTCTGTCCCAGATTGATGGCATACGAGCAGTTTTGCTGCCACTTCGTTCGTAGTGTTCCATTTAATCGGTCACATCGAGTCCTGCAGATGGGAAAAGAATCAGCTCAAAAGGATAAGTGGTCAAGCCAGACCAAATGCAGAATATTAAAAAATGGGATGATTACCCCTCAAACTGAAACGCTTTTAAAACTTTTTTCCTGGGTTACTGTCAACAAGTAGTTTTTCAGTACATGGGGGCAGAAATTACCGAGCATCCTGTATCTGAAATCTTTTTTTTTTAAAAAAAAAAAAAAGCACAGGAGTAAAGATTGTCTCTGAACCTAAATTTCCTTGAGGTAACGTGAATCAATTACGCATTGTAGATTTTTCCAAATTGTTCATGGTGTTCTTATGGTGATGTTATCATGGTTAATATTGACTTTTGCAAGCTAGTTAAACTTCAGAGGTTGAATTCTCTGCCTTCATTTTGGTGTCATCTGCTTTCTTGGTCTGTGTTTCAGACTATCTTCAAACTTTTCCTCTTGCAAAATGAGATTGGTTACAACCCGTTCATATTTTGAAAAATGTTTCAGTAGACTGAGGTGTTGATTTCAAAACATTACTTTTAAAAACATGAAGTAAGTCAGAAATGCCCTTCTATAATGAAAAATATGAGTTGCCATCAGCGAAGCAAATGAGAGGCCTGGTTACCTTGTGTCAGTCTTCTGTTTTCAGGAGTGCTTGTGGTCAAGAAAGAAGCAGCAGCATTCACTTAGAAACACAAAACCTCCTATATTTAAAAATTATAAGTTATTTCTTACATATGATGGGTAACCCTTAAGCACTGGCATTGTACATGTGCTGTTGTTGCATTTTGAGCTTTGGTTATATATTCCTGCATGGTTTTTTTTTTTAAATATAAACATGATGTTTATCTTATTTCTTTAGTTTTGAATTTTCTGTTTAATTGTAAATTATATCCTAGTGAACCAAAACTAGTAATTTTGGTTCTGCATTTGATTGTCAGTGTCCAGGTTCTCTAGACTGTCCACTTTTATTTTTATAGCATATGAAATGCAGATCACAATCCTTGCCATACTTGCTCACGTGAAACACAAGTGACTTTTGCTGGGATGTTGGTCTGACTGAATACCACAAAACTGGAAGAGTACATCTAGAAAGTGAGGAACTCCAGAATGAATACTTTGAGTAAAGAGCAAGGGCTGCAGCAGTTGCTCAGTGTCACTAGTCATGCAGTATGCTCACAATTTATTATGCACTCTGTAGCCTCATGTTAACATAGCAGTCCTATGTGCTCTGTTTTTTGCAAGTTTGTTAAACTTTGGGTGGTTCGTTAGTGAATTTCTGAAGCTCTGACGCAAAGGAAGTAAACTGTTAGCAAAAAATAGGTATGTTTTTGATGGTCAGCATTGTAAGGAATACAAGAAGTTTCACTTCCTTGGTTGTGCCAAGGATAAATACTTCATGAGAACATTCTCTTCTTCTGTTGGGGGTCTGTTAAACTAAATACAGATTAACGTTCAGAGTCACCTAGAACCAATTCTGACCAGTGAGACAGAACTCTATGTTTGAAATAGTAACCAGAGGCAAAATTAGTGTGCTTTTTATAATGAAAAAAGCCCACAAGATCAAAAATAAGAACAAGGTAATAGAAAAAGGTGATATGATTCAGGTCATAGAAGAACTTTCATGAGCTGCTCGGACTGATGGATGATTGAATTTCTGCTTTTAAACAGGACAAAGCCCACTTGGTTAGGTGAAATGACATTTTTCTTTACTGCAGATGTCCAGCCTAAGCTAATCATGTCTGTTCCCTTGATAGCTGGCAGAGAGGCACATTGGGAGTGAATCATCGGGTTTAGATGGATATCTAAGAGCAGCAGATTGTGTTTCACACAATCTCCATTTCTCCCAACGACTGCAGAGGAAACCTAAATGAATAGCTAAACTGGATTTCTTTCTCCTCAGGTTACCAAAAACCCTGGGAGATAAATCCAGCTGTCCCTTAAGAAAGAAAGTTTTGTGTGATCTTATCGACAAATTGAAATTTGAATAATAAATTCTGGTTGTGGTTGCTTTGAGGTAGAGAGCCTCTTAAAAGAAAGGGAAAAATGCTTCTTGTGGTAGTCATACTGTTGTTTCTTTATTTATTTTATTCATCAGAAGTTTTGTAAACTGCATGGTCCAGTTGTGTAGTAGAGCTTATTATTAAGACTAGTATAGCAGCTATTCCTTGATACATACACAGGCTGAAATGTTTACATATATCTGTATAAACTAATGCAGTGGTATGATACTTTGGTAATGAAAATAGGAAATATCATGGTATAGTTGATCAAAATGTGCATGGACTGCATTAACTCCACCTGTGTTAGTATTTTGCCACTGTCTTGACTTTTCATTTAAGCAAGGAGTCAGACTGAGAACAGAATTTCTCTGCCTGGAGCGACGTAACTGGGGAGGTTTACAAAAAAAAAAACCAAACCCCACCAAAATAAAGATTGCAATGTGTTTACTTTCCACCCAAGTTCACTGGTACTGGTTAGTACCAGTATTAATGAGTGCTATCCTCATGAAAGATGAAAATGCTAAACAAATCAAAGGTAGACCTTTGCAGTTTTATCTAACAACACATTGCCTTAGCTTGCATTCAAGACAAAAGCACTCTTGCGCATACCTGTCCTATAGATTCCTCTCCCCCCCCCCCCCCCCCCAGTATGGTATCTTCCTCCTATTTCTGTTCTTCTCTGTTATTTATCTCTCCTTTATGTATTTTGAACCAGTTTATATGGTCAGTAGATAACTTCAGGCATGCACTTAAGGGTGTCTTAAACAGTCACTTTTTTTCTCTAATGTGTTTTTCATAGAGCTAGCAAGTGCTGTAAACCCAAGGATTGACTGAGTGTATTATTTTTACCTTTAACAGTGCCATTGAATTGATGCTAGTTCGCAGTGTGGGGTAAAAAACCAAAACCCCAAACCTCCAGCCCCAAAACAAACTGCTCCAGATTGGCATCATGGAAATCACTTGCTTTATGAAACATCAACTTGTTTGGTTGCTGCTAAAGCTCCACACTTGTGTTACCTGTTTACATGCATGGATTTGTATGTATGTAGTTAGTTAGGTCCTTCTTAAGTACTACTGTTTGTTTGTTTAATAATTGAGTTCCAGCATTTCATTAAAAAAAAAAAGGAGACTGGCAGACTTTTTAGTTGTTTACATTTTATGTTGTGTTTATTATTTGTAATGTTTGTTTTTCTTTTATATGTTCATCAACACTTAAATCTTACAATCTTATGTGTAGATCTCATGCTGACTCGGCAAAATCCAGCTCTTCTGAAACAGACTGCAATGATAACGTGCCCTCCCACAAAACTCCTGCTCCGTCAGCGAGCAAGCATGCTGTGAATGGCTTTTTTCAGCAGCAGGGTGTCTATGACTCTCCGCCTTCTCGTTCTGGACTGACACTGGCAGACTGCAGCCTTTATAACCTGCCTAGGAGTTACTCACAGGATGTTTTACCGAAGGCAGCATCTCCATCTGGGACTGATGCAGAAGGAGAGCAACATGTTTTCAATACCCCGACAGCAGCATCTTCGTTAGATGCACAGATGAGACACATCTCCATTAGCTATGACATTCCCCCCACACCTGGAGGTACTTACCAGATTCCACGAACTTTTCCAGAGGGAACGTTGTCTCAGACTTCAAAGCTGGAGACTATTCCAGATATTCCTCCACCTCGGCCACCAAAACCTCACCACGCTGCAGATCGATCTCCTGTGGAAACATGTAGCATTAGTCGCACTGCTTCAGACACTGACAGTAGCTATTGCGCCACCCTCACGCAGTAATACCATTTCAACTGTAGATTTGAATATCTTTCGTAAAGGTCAGTATTCCGTATTTTATCCTGGGCTTCCAGAATTTGAATTTTAAATGATGTAATCTTGTGATGCGTGGTGTGGTACAAGTGACAGGAATGGGCTGAATGCTATGAGGGGCATTTCTAGCCTTTAAAAACAAGTGGGTAGCCATTTACAAAGCAGTCTGGTTGCAGTGCTTAAAATGCGTAAGAAAGAGGAAAAAAAGGTTATTAAAGGAATCAATCAAAACAGCAAAGCCCAGAACATTGCTAAGGGATGTATATTGCACTCTAGCATTCAGTCTTAACTAAAAATATTAGAAGGCAGATATATTTATGGTGTTTTTCTTCTTTAGAAAACAGCAGTGAAGAACTAATCATCTCTTTTTTGCTAATAAGCTCATATAGCTGAGTTCAGTATTGCGGTTATCAGTCCTTCAGAAGGACCAAAGTAAGGTTAGTGTATAGTGGTCCAAATCTGCAGAAGCTGTGTTTCCTGGAGGTCAGCAGGACATGGTATATGCCCAGGGCTTTGAGATCAACCCTGATTTGGCTATCGTTTCCACCTACTTTTATTTCTCTTCTTGCTGTAGATATTAATACTGCAGTTTTTAATTAAAATCAAAGTTTTCCCTTACAGTTACCTAAATGTTGTTATTCCATATGTGCTAGTACGTTGGTGGTGGTGGTGGGTTTTGGTTGTTTTGGGGTTTTTGGGTTTTTTTTTCCCCTGCCTGCTTTTTTGTTCCTGTTTTTATTCTTTCAGATTTAAATTTGAGAAATGCAGCAAGAGGTAGAGATTGGAAAGCTGGTATTTATCATTAGAGAGCTGCTGTTCTAGTTTTGTTAACCACTTTTGGGCTGAGTTTAATTTTTTTCAGGTTCCTGAGGCAGGTGGGGATCACGGTGTTATTTTTTAAGTAGAATTTTGAACTAGTTACAGTCGATGCTTATGTTGGAGAGGATTTTAAAGGAGAATTATTTGAGTTGGGCTAGATACGGGATGGGAGGCTGAAGTGAGGAAGAGGACAAAAAGCTGTTTAAGAGGAGGCAGTGTACAGAATGGATGTGACCAGGCAGGTGCTGAGATAGTATTATCCTGTTTGCTATTCATTTTGTAGGCTAAGCGTAATAATATTGATGGTTGTTAGTGTTTTATGAAGTAAAACCCTGAAAGACCATTGTTTGCTTTACTGTCTTCTCTCATTTTGCTAAGTTTGTAAGTGAGTGCTCCTACTCTAAGGCTGAGTTCATCAGCCTCGGGAGAATTAGCCTTTCTGAAAAAACTGTTTTAATTTGGTGCTTAATAGCAGAAGTGTTTATTTTTCCTTTGAGGTGGAAATCTCAAAAAAACCTCAGAGCTTTTTTTCAGGGTGAGGCAGGGATAAAGCCCAGAGTTTGCTCACAGAGTTTTTGGCTCAGCATCAGGAGAAGGGACATGCCTGTTGCAGGGTGAGGCAGCCTGTCACCTGCATGCGTGAGCAGGACCTGGGACTCAAGTGTCTCTCAGACACCCCTGTCCAACAGAGAAGCAGCCACGAAGGTGAGGAGCACCTTAATGCAGACTGCCAAAAGCCAGGAACCTGAAAATGGAGACGTCCTCCGTTCTGTAGCACTTAGTTCAAACTGAAAGCCCCTGGAGACTGCACTGGGGAGCTGAGAGCTGGGTTTCACCTGCAACAGATTGTGCCCTGTTGAATCAGCACTGTCCAAGGGAATGGCATTCAGTCAGAAAACCTTTTTCGAGACCCTAAATTACATCTGCTGTTTGTTTATTTTAGAATAGGTTTTTCATGAGGGCCCAGTATCTCAAAACCCACTCTTGCCCTGGAAGTAATGCTTTTCTGCTTTTTTAAAAGGAAAAATAATTTTTTTCTTGTCGTGGAAAAATGCCACTTTAAAGAGCTTCAGGTTGTGACTGATGAGTGCTAAGTTTGTGAACACAGTCATCTCAAGTACATGGATAAAATCTATGGGCCACAGCTTCAGGAGGTGTGTTTGCATGTTCGTAGAAGCAGACAGTAAATAACAACAGACTCCGGATGCCTGGTGCCAAGTAACAGGAGCAGGGATGAAATAAATAGCCACTTTCTCTTCTTGTTTCTTTAGAAATTAGTTCTCAAGACTGTTATGATATTCCACGAACGTTTCCGAATGACAGATCTAATTCATTGGAGGGCTTCCATAACCACTTCGTAAGTATGACTTGATGTGATGAGAGGCGACAGTGCTTGAATGTTCTTTGTTCCCATGTAAAAAAGCAAGCTGTATGGTGTTTGTGATTTTTCAGTTTCAGTAAAATATATTAATCTGAGTAGATTAGGTTAAAAAACTCATATGATTCACAGCTGATTGCATAACTTATTTTGTTAAAGGAAATATATGTTAATTCTAGAAAAACAGAAGCATGTTGACAGTGGGAAGTGTTTCAAGTGAAGAACTAGATGAAAATTATGTCCCAATGAATCCCAACTCTCCTCCACGACAGCATTCCAGCAGCTTCACTGAACCCATCCAGGAAACAAACTATGTACCAATGACACCAGGCACGTTTGATTTTCCGTTATTTGGAAAGCAAGTCCCTCCTCCTGCTCACATGGGTTTCAGGTCCAGTCCAAAGACCCCTCCCAGACGGTCAGTACCTGCTGCGGAATGTGAGCCACCACCAGTGGATCGGAACCTCAAACCAGACAGAAAAGGTGAGGAAAATATCCAATAGGAGTTGATTTTTATCATCTAAGAAAATAACATAGAAGTCCCAGTTGGATTAGTGGAAAATGATCATATTCTTAGAAATTCTAACGAAATAATTTTTATTCTAGGAGATAGCCATAACACAAAAGAATCCTAGGATTATTTTTAGGCATATTAAAACATGACAGTAACAGTGCCAAATACAAGCAGAGTTTTAATTTTTATTGCTGTAGTTATTAGTGGAAAAAATGACACAGAATTGCTAGCAGTCAGAAGTGTGAGTTTTAGTCCTTATACATAGAAGACAGCAAACTGACTTGTGATGGAGAGAGAGTGCACTGGGCATTCGGTAGAATACAAATTTATAGCCATAACAGTGCTTGGTACAGGATCAGTACACATTTTCATTGTATGAAGTACAAGTTTAAAATAACTTATTTAAATATTTTCATTTTTTTCCTTTGATGTGAACGTTCTTAGAAGAAATTAGTTGATGCAACAAGAATGAGTTGTACATTCTGTTGCTTTTTAGTCCTACTAAAAGCATATAATGGTCTTAGAAGTTCTTACATAGAATTATTCATACAAATGCTTCAAATGAAGGAAGAATTAGATTGAAGAAATAGTGTTTACTACTAAGTAGGTCACATTAAATCCTCATTTCAGTCTGTAAAAGCAAGGAGAATCACTTGATGTTGGAGCTGCTTAATGCTTAAATGCTAGTGGCCACGTGGGGCAGTCAGGGGAAGATGTTAAACATACGGGCTCTGAGGTTACCATATATATTTTCCTTGGGTTCCAGATGAGATCTTAAGATATATTTGCTTTATCACAGGAGCTGGGCGCCATGCCTACATTGAAGTTTGTATAAATTGCAGTAGGTGAAAATTTCCATGCCTTTATAGAGTGTGGTACATTAAACAAAGTCACAGAGCAAAAAGAAAGGTAGATTTATGTGGCAATATTTTAAACTGCTGAATATGTGGAATATGACTGTTTATCAGTCTGAGGAAGCTGCAATAACTTCAGTGACAAAATTGAAAAAAACCCCAAATTTTAGAGGGCCCCTTCCAAGCTATGCTAAAAAAATTAATCTCTTGAATCTGGTATATACTGGGTTTGCTTTTCCTTAAAATAAGGATTATTTGGGTGATTGGTGTTCTTTACAAAGATGACACTGTTGTGTTGTGTCTGTAAGTGATACCTGTATAGAGAATCGCTAATAGATTGGATGTTAGGAAAAAATTCTTCACTGAAAGGGTTGTCAAGCACTGGAACAGGCTGCCCAGGGAAGTGGTTGAGAGGCAAATACCTGGAGGTGTTTAAGAGATGTGTAGCTGTGGTGCTTAGGGACATAGTTTAGTGGTGGATTTGGCAGCGTTAGGTTAAGAGTTGGACTTGATCTTAAAGGCCTTTTTCAACTTAAATGATTCTATGATTCTAATCAATACTTTAGACTTTCCAGTTAATCTAAAATGTTTTATCAGCCAGCTTATCAGAAATGTAAGTAACTTATTTCCCTACTATGCGGTTTTTCAGGAAAGATAGCTTGCTTACTTGCAGAAGAACATTAGGTCAAATGTCTGCACTATTTTATATTTGAGTAAGTCCTACTTTTAGAACTGCGTGCTTGAAAAATTAGTATTTATGTTCAGAATGAGCATCTTCATTTTGGGGAAAACTGGATGGCAAATATTCAGATGATACAAAATATTCACTGACTAAAGCTTTAAATTAGTCTACCCCTAAGTGAAAACAGCCTGTGATTTAAGTGAAGTAGATTTCATTGTGATATAGAGGATTTTGTCGTGAAATGGGAAGTACTGTGTCTCGTTCTGACCATGCATCTTCGGAAAACGAGGCATGCCTTTTGCAAGACCTTGGCTCTCTGCTTATGTCTAATTGTTTTTGTCTTACCAGACAGTAGTCTTGTTTAGTTCTTAAGAAATACTGGACAGTAACAGATTTATGAAAGCTGATACTGGAAAATATTCTCAAAATAAACACTGAACTGCTTTAAAATATTTTTCCTGACTGGCCAGTTTGTGTATTTTACTGATAAAATGTTTTGACATTACAACATAGAAATTTACTACTTTTAAAAGCTGCTTACTTCTGCTGTTGGCAGTGCAAAGCAGTTGCACAGATGTCTGCTGGGCAGCAGTACTGCTCTTGCATCTTTCTTCTTGAAACTGAATTAGTGTTTCACATTCTGAAAGTGGTGTGTAAGGTTCCTGCTTTGCTCCTGTCCTCAAATGCATTACGTATAGAAAGGCCTAGCTAACATCAGGAAAAAGATTTTTACGTGTGCTAACATACCTGTTGATGAGTTTAATGTGACTACATTTTTTGCCTTTAGACTTTTAGAAGCTGTTATCAGTGTAAAACGATATGATTATTTAATGTAATTTAAAGATAGCTTTACTTTAAAACTAATCTATCACCTAAAGTAAGTATTTTATAGTAAATGCTTAGAGGCTGAAACCAAGAATGCTAATGATTCTGATTTATCACTTTTACCTTAGTAACACACACACACACTGGCTCACTCAGATTTTATTAAGTGTACTACTTCGAGTCTTCCATTGTTGTGAAGAGCAGATGTGATGACACATCAGGATGGTAATATATTCCTGTTTCCATAGTGAGTTCTCCATGCAAAAAACCTTCTTTCAGGAACATCTTTGGGAAAATGGAACTGCAGTTCCTTTTGAATTTAAATAGGATAAAACTCTTGTTTTAGTGGGCCCTTACCTAACTAAAATGAGTGTGTGCTTTTCCAGCTTTCAAGTTCTTGTAGCGGCTTCTATTCTCATGTTGTTTCTGCTTATATGAATGTACTGTGATGGTCTTAGGCTACAGGTTAGTGAATAGGAAGTAACAAGTTGGCCAGTGTGTTCAATAAAACTTAAGAAAGACATAGAAAGGCAGGAAATGTGACATAAAATAGTTATCTCCTGGGTATTGCACCCTTTCAATGTTTTAGGTTGGTGGTGGGTTTTTTTTGTGTGTGTGTTGTGGGGTTTTGGGTATGTGGGTTTTTTTTTTATATGCCATTATTTCAAGAATTTTGAAGACCACTGCTCAGTAACGTTTCTGTGTGGGCCAGGGGGGTTCATTATATTCAGTGCTAAAAATGCATTTCACAAAGAAATAATGCAGTGAAACTAGCCCATAAAAAAAGAATGCACTGCTGCTTGTTGTTAAATGAACATGCTTAGTTATCTCCTCTATTTTTCTTTGGTTTAAGACTTACTGTTTACAGGCAGTATAGTTTGGCAATGGAGTGGCCATTCTGTTGTATATAGCCTGCTCTCCTTCTGCTGTTTCTGTTTTGTAAACCTGAGGTGAAACACGTACTCGGTGACTTCTGATTCTGCTGGATTTGAAGAATAATGCGTCAGGCAGCAAAGGGCCTGGCGATCTGTTTATCAGCAGCATTGACTGTAATGTGTATGTCTTCACAATAAGCACCTGATGTTCTGGATAATCTAATGAATTGTTAAAATTCTACAAAATTTTAAGCATAAGTACAGTTATATAGAAGTAGTGACTGTGAGAGAGGACTGAGTTATGAAAAATCAACAACATGGGTAAACTAAATGTAGGTAATAAGTAGGTCTAAAATTCATTGAAGTTTGTGCCGATTCTCCTGAGGAGAGGGTGCTTGCCCGTACCTACTGTGAGAGCCTGAGTCTCTCTGGGCTTCCCACATATAGGAGTAGCCTGGGCCAGGAGCCGTGGTGAACTATGAGATACCCTGTGTCTTTTTCTGCTGGTTTCTAGAAGAACGTTGTTTCAGAAAATGGGTTAAAAAATAATAACAAATTAAAAAAACACGACCATCTACAGCCTTGAGATTGCACTGCATTTTCTTGTAGTTTCATTTTTCTAGCTCACAGCTGCTTCTGTAAATGCAGGGAGCTTCCAGTACTTTCTGGAAGCCTTGAAAGTACTTTCAAAACATGGTGTTGGCTTCTTGCCCCAATAGCTTGAATCAAAGCACTTTACTATTTCTTTAGAGCATACCAAAAGGTAAGTGATATATTGCTTGGGACAAAATGCAGAGCGTTTGGCCAGGTGCATTTCTGCATTTGCCTGTAATTGAATGACAAAAATAATCTCTTTTTCATTTGCTTTTTCAGGGTGCTATTTCTTTTTTGTAATAAAGAACCATTGTCTCTACTGATTTTTGTATTTCTGCTTTTTGGCTGCTTTAGCTTGCTATGGTTGCATGTAGTCATGATGCTAAATGGGAAGCATTGTTGCTAGCAAAAGGTTTCAAGTGGAAGAAATACTGCATCCATCCATGCAGTTGGGTCATATTCTCGGAATCGTTCAAAGACTGTAACTGGTTCTGCCAGAGTGTTTGTGATTTTTGTTTTGACAGACGCACAATCCTTCCTCAAAATACTGTTTATCCAAGAAGGAGCAGTAGAATTAAAGATGCCCAAATGCAGTGAGGTGAATACTCCCTAGACAGCTAAGACAACAAAGAACAGCCAGATTCTCTTCTGCTCCACTTCATACTTTCCCTAGGGCTCTTTCAGAAAATCTGAGAAGGTTTATGATACGAGGCAGTGGATCCTGTGATCTCCATCCTGCTGACAGCTTGCAGGACTGTAGTCCACGTTTCGCTGTTCCACAGGGAACTGCTCTGTGTAGCAAGGCAGGTCCCAGGTGGCTGAGCTGGCAGTCCACAAGAAAATTTTAAGGCCTGACAGAGGTCTGCGAGTCTAGACAATCTTAATCTTCAGTACAAACGTGACGTAAGTCAGAGATCAAGGGAAGTACATGGTCAAAAATAAAAGGGGTAGAGCGTGAATTGGTTTTTGTAGGTCAGGAGGCAGCATTTGAGTGGTGGGGGATGTCGGTGAGCCTTTGGGCATGATAATGAGCCCCTCCTACCCCATAGTTTATTTCCAGGGGTAGGAGGGTGGGGTTTGTGATCTTAAAGCAAGACTTTAAGACCAAACAACTACAAAACAAGATTTATTTTTTTAAA